GGAATGCAAAGATTGGGATCCATGGCTGACAAACTAATGGACTCCTCCAGGACACACCAGCCATGGATGAAGAGAGCTTGACCCTCATGATCGCTCAGATTTATGCCAAGCATGATGCGTATGGGATGCAATAGTTTCTTTGGTCAATTTTGGTGATCTGTCTGGCCATTTCTCCCTGAAGGAGGGTTGCAAGTGTGGTGTCTTTTCCTCCCTTTTGTTTCCAGAGCATAAATTGTTTAGCAGAACCAAGCAGTGCCCTTGATTCTGCATACCATTCTCCAGCAGTAACTATAAACATGAAGCATTATCAGACCTAGAAGCAGACACTGACTGAAAAACATGCTGTTCATTTCAGCAAGTGTAGCTACTTAGACTTAACTGAAAAGTAAAACTACTAGAAAGAAAATTGGTTCTGTCCTGGCTGAAACCAGGACATTATCCTTTTACTTACTCTTGGGCAAACAAAAAAAAATAATCTGAAAATGGTTGGTGGGATGATTTTTCCCTGGATGCCACCCAGACAGTGCCCAAAGGCTGGATGCTAGAGGATTTCTCAGTTGAAGAGGAACTGCAAAGCTAGGCTGCTCAGGATGGCTCCTGCATCCTGCAGGTAGGAGTCTGCCCTCCAGCAGCCCTTCTTGCTTTTACATTCCCCAGATGTCCACATTTATGGACAGGAACTCTTTGGAGGCAGCCAGAAGGTCAGTTGGCAGGAGTCAAGGTAAGCAGCTGTCCCCAAAAGTGAGAGCACTGGTAGTGACACTCACTCCCAAGAGCCTTTATAAGAGATGGTTAAGTCTACCTCTTGTTCTGATGGATGGCTGCTGCAGGTTTCTTTGATCTCCCTCCCAGACCTATAAACTATTTGCCTTCATCTTCTGGATTGATGCCCAGGACTTTTATGTACATGCTTGGAGCAAAGACTTCCCCCCAGAATTTCTCCCACGTTTTTTATGCTAACCCAAGAGCTTGATCTCCGTTTTTCATCAGTATCATAGACAAGAAGCAGGGAAAACACTGCTGCCTAGACCTCTTGGGACAGGAGGGAACCTGGAACATACCTTCAGGGAAGTCTGTCTTTCAGAGGAAGGCAAATCCCTTCACCACTGACATGGGAGATGGGGACCCTTTCCCACCCCAGCTTTTCTGAAGCACATCTACACCTCAGGTACAGACTCACCTATGTTTCCTACTTGTTTTCTTTACCTTAGCAGCCTTAAAGTGCTGTGCTAGGGATGTGCAGCACATTTAATCATCATCTCTGCCAAAAACCTGGTGTTCCTAGGACATGGTGAGCCTCATGCAAGCACAAAGGTTAACTCTACTTGCATTTGCACTCGGTGTGGTTATACAATGAGAGCTGCCACAGGAGGCTTTCTCTGGAGCTAAGCAACATCTAGTTTGAGACAAGACAATGACAAAACAGGTATCCATGTCCACAACACACACCCAACCGATCTCCTCCATGTAGTGCTCACTTGCCAGCAAAGGCAATAAAGTCAGGCAGAAATTTCCTTCATTGTGTTGCAAGAGAGAGACGGGATGGGATGGTATGGGACGGGCCATGCTGTAATGGGTCCAGCAGGGCTGTTGTACTTCCTTTGAATTTTCCCACAAATTGCAACATCTTGTGTTCTCCTGGACATAGGGATAAAAGAAGCACTTTTAGAGGAGGAATAACATTTCCTCACTGAGGTAAAAGCTAGCAAGCTCAGAAAACTCCACAATGTCTTCCCTTCTCACACAAGACCTTCATGTGAAATGTTCGGTGGCAAGCCCTGCCCTACTTACCATGCCCATGTGTGCCTGGGTATGAGTCTATGCAAGGTAGTGAGTATTCTTCATCTGTTTCTAAATCAGTAGTGATGGGTGTTTAACAAAGTAATAACTACTGACTTTTGTATTTCCCCTTCAGGCCCTGAAGCATCTCTTGGCCTTGTCCTGCTTGGCTATCTCAGAAGTCCATGGAGTGGACACAGTCAAAGCTGTCTGCCATATGATGCATTGAGCACCTAAGCTGCTCCCTGAGGGCAGTTTGCTCTCTCTCTATGTTCAGCATTTCTTTGCTCCCTCCCAGGGCCCACAACACAGAAGAGCTCTGTTCTGAACTTCTCCAGTGGTTTTGCACCTTCAGAACAAACCATCTTCTGATCCGCCTTCTGGGTCAGCCAGCAAAGGCCCCCAGAGCTTCTGGAAGTGAGGCTGTGCTCAGGAGCAGGATCTTGACCTCTTCTCAAGATCTGGTACACTTTCCCCCTCTCTCTTCAAAGCACTTAGATTAAATTTGTATTAATGAAGGAAGTATGTCCCAGAGTGTTCCCTGGCACTGAAGCAGACTAGCACAAAGCAGTCATGTCTATTGAGCTCTCTTTATCCTTCAAAATACGATGGTCAGATGCAACCTGCATATCAGGAATGGTCTCTGGCACACCTTGACTCCCAGATCATATCAGGAATTGTCAAGAGAGTGCTAGTGGCCAGGGACTGCCCTAACAGTGTGGCTACAGGGCAGATCAAATGCCAGGGACCTAGGAACGTACCTGGCACTTCAACTTTTCCAGTCTATACTAGTCTGAAGACTGTTCATCTTTAGACCCAGTTTTGGTAGGTTAACCCTGCTAGCAGGCCATGTATTTCCAATATTAAACTTCTTCTTATTCTTCCCCTATAGCTCCATGCCTTCCTTCTCTCAGCAATACTGCTTTCTACGTATCTCCTTCCTTTCACTCTGGAAACATGACATTCATGTCTCATGCTCCAGCTATACTTCTCTTTGGTCCATCTATAGGCTTTGCTTCCTCTCTATAGTGCCCCCACAGAGGTCGAGCTGAGCATCTTGGACTCTCTACCCCATGCCAGCATCCTCACTGTATGGGTGCAGGAGAAGTTGTTCCTCCAGTACAGACCCATTATGAGGATATTAAAGAACTACTTCCTCTTTCCAGATGGACTTTATTAAATTAGCTTAATTCTCAGTGCATTTCCTCATGGCAGTGTAAGCTACAAGCAGACACTGGAGCATCTCCAGTGCCTGAGGCACCAGCAGCATCCACTAAGAGATTATGCTGGATCCACCCTGAGGATTCTAGCAGGGAATACTGCTGCCAAACACTGGGGAAGAGTCCAGCTCCATGGAGTCTTTTCAGCTCTCCTGGTACGGGTTGAACCTTGTCTTGCTCACCTTCCATTTTTTCTCTTGTTGCCTCCTCCCCCTCTTTTTGTTTGCACAAATCCTTCAAAGAACTACAGGACACTCAAATAACCGTGTTCTTTTTGCTGTGGCATTTTGCTGTGTTTCCATTTAAATGGAAAAATGGTGAAATAGTGTCAGCTCCAGCATGCAAGGCCACATCTTGTGCAGTTGTCTGCAAGAAGCCTTGCAGAGCAGAGCCATGATCTTGGCAGGAATCCTGAAGTGCTACTACAAAGTAAATAAATAATCAATTGTTATTATTTTTATGTATCTGAGAGCCTTCTCTAGTAGGTCTTGATATTATTACAGTGCCGAGGACGGGCTGCAATTAGATAATATTACACTCGGCTGGTATTTATTCCCTTGGAAACACAGGTAAAAATGCATTTAATAGCTCTCCAGTGACAATGAATATTCATTAATGTGACACAGACGTATACTTGATTTGAAAATATGGGCAATAATTAAAGAGCTATTAAGGTTAAAAAGCAACAAAGGAAATTCAGCTACCGAAAGAGCTGTTCTGGGATCAGCCCCTGACCTGTACGTGCAAGGATGAGCACAGGCAACCTGAGATTTTCTGCATTATTTTACATATCAGCAAACTGGGGGATCTGCCTTCCCTCCCCAAACTCTGTCATCTGGAAATGTCCTGATAACTCAGAGTTCTTTTTTCCTGCTGTCCTAGAGAGCAGCTGTGCTCTGCTGCAGTGCTGCTGCTCGTACCCTGTCTCACACACTGATCCAGTGACATTGAGTTGATGAGTACAGGAGGGGAAACTTTCTGCAGACTTTTGAGAAGGAAGCTGTTTATCATTGGTCACTTATATTCTTTTATTTCTGTTATTCACTGGTCATGGTAGCTGCTCTGCAGTAATCTCTGAAAAGCTCCATCCCATAGGCTGTGATACTGAAGTCAAGTTTATCAAGGAGGTTTCGTTAAAGGTTCCTTTGTAGGGACAGCTTGAGAAAGTGGCCTGAGCAGTGTGTGCTCTGTGTTATGGACACTTCAGGAGTGAGGCAATGGCACTGCTGTACATGGAGGGAGGCAAGCAGGAGAAGACATGTCTAAGGGCAGTGGCACCACTGCAAGACCAAGTGCTTGATCATGGCCAGGACAAACCCTGTGAGATCTCACTCACCATGTCCCACTGGTACGGACAGAAATGACAAGGTCTCAGCAGAGCTGGGTCCCTCAGGGACAGGGCAGAAGTTGGGAAATGGCAGCCACCCCAGCCAGCAGAGGAGAAGTGAGACCTGCGTTCTCCACACCCAGGTGTGCTGTCGGGAAGAGGTTACAACACCTGGCTATGCATCACCCAACTCCCTTTGTGGGGAGAGTCTCCCAGGCTAGTGATGCTGCCGAAGAAATGATGGCAGAAACTGAAGCAAACCAGGCAGAGAGACAGACTGTTGTTTTAACTTCTAACCCAGCAGCCTAATGGTAAATAGAAAAGTGAATCAGCCTATTGGGCTGGTGGTTCAGGCCACTCAGTCAGGAAGGTTAACTATGTATTGCCTAAATTAGAAACAGATAAGCCACGTCTGTCTTTGCCCAAAGCTAACTCAACTGACTCTGCACAGCAGCACCCTGTGCAGACGTGTATGAAGGTGGTGACAGAGCTGAGGCAAGCACCTCATGCTGCTGCCTCACAGCCATCCCAGCAACTTTCCTCACCTTCCCAGGTGCATGTGTCACAGAGGCAGCCTTGGGCTGGCTGTGTGGCACCAGGCTGATTTCCTCAACAACAAACAATAAAATTCTGCTTTCTGCCTGGACTGGCTGGTTTTGGTGGAGGATGTTTTTGGTGTTTTGGTTTGTTTTTTTGTTTTAGTTTTTTTGGTTTGGCTTGGTTTGGGTTTTTTGGGGGGTTTTTGTTTGTTTGTTTGTTTGTTTGTTTTTTCTGGAAACAATTACACCTCCATGCTTTAGCCACTTATTGCTGTTTCAACCTGACAGGGTTTATCCTTCTAAAAAGAGAGACTGTCAGTGCTTGCTGTTCTCAGAAACCCAACCTGAGACTTTTCAAAGGCACAGGAATGTGCTATCTCAGTTCTCACTAATTTTAATCCATTTCACATCCTTTGGCTGCGTTCTGCAGTAATTTTAGCAGGAGTGACGAAATTAACACCCGTGAAATCAGCATGTTTGACTACGAACAGCCTCCGCCGGGAGGGTGGGGCGGGCGTCTGCGGGGGACGAAGCAAAGAGTCATAGAACGGTTTGGGTTGGAAGGGACCTTAAAGATCATCTAGTTCCAGCCCCCCTGCATGGGGGGCTACACCAGGTTGGTCCAAACCCCATTTAACCTGACCTTGAACTCTTCCAGGGATGAGGCATCCACAACTTCTCTGGGCAAACTGTTGCAGTGTCTCACCACCCTCACAGTAAAGAATTTCTACCTCACGTCTAACCTCAATTTACCCTCTTTCAGTTTGAAGCCGTTACCCGTCGTCCTATCACTACATCCCCTTGTAAGAAGTCCCTCCCAGCTTTCCTGTAGGCTCCTTCAGGTACTTCAGGTGCGCGGTACACTGCCGGCAGCTCCGATTCCCGCTGCGGTCCCACAGCCGCTCCAGCTCCGCCACC